CCTGATCATCAAAAAACCTGCATTTAGTGATTGATTGTACACTGGTGACAGCGTCGTGATGAGATTAGCTGCAGTCAATCACGGGGGTGGCCCTGTGTGCTTTGATGAGGTTATGGAAGACCCAGAGTTGTGTTGGTGTAACGCACCTCTGTTGTCACTCATGAAATTGCTTTTGAGGGCGTCTTTTGTGAAGAAGCAGATGATGATGTGACAGAGCTAAAACATATCAAGGGCAGTGGCGCTTGGGTAATTATAGCCTCCTATATAATGCAGCGTGGCATGCTGGGTCAACTGTGAACAGTGAGATGGCGACAGCGGCTGTCATGTGCCGCCATGATGGTCATGACCAATTGAGCGATAGAGAGAGGCTTTACGGATGTGTTCTTTGTGCGTTTGCCTGGTGGTAGGATTCACTTTGCTGTTGGCATGGCGTGCTCATGCCATAAGACGTCATACACAATGAATTTTTCCGTGTGTCTTTGCATTTGACATACAATGGTACCTGGAGTTCCATCTTCTCCAACTTTATGGTTTGTTCCATGAAATCCCTTTGAGCAGTTTGACACAGCGTCATAAGGAAAGGTCTTCTGTTCACAAGTTATGTCACTGTGTCAGATTAAATTTTAGGTATCAAAGGTACTAGACCGACACAGAGTGAATACTTCCAACTGTTATCCTACTGAACAAAAGTGGTATTGAAAATGCCTCGCCAAAACAATCAAATAACTGGATTGATTTGATTAAAAAAAAAAAAAGCAAGTCAGAACTATCTTACACGAGGACTCGTGTCATTTCAGAGGCATGCACCAATGTAGAAATAATTTGGAATTGTAGTATCGAACCAAGTGGGAGGAGTGTTGACGAGATAGAATGTCCAAAGTTTGGGATTGTTTCGCATGAGAAGATCAAGTGCAATGTTTTTACTGTGAAGTACAACTGGCATACCACAACACCATGTTTCCGATCGCACGCAAGCTAACGTATCGAATGTGAGCTGATGTAATTAAATCGCCTCCCCCACTCGTTAAAATGAAAGATTTTGCTTCCACCAAAAAAATAAATAAAAAATACAAAAAAAAAACTTTTGAGGTAGCACCACCATCTTTTCACAATTGAATGGAAAATTTATAAGGGAGTCTTCACCCAACGATTCCTGTTGATGAACAGAGGCGGAGTGGGTGTGGAAACCTCAGCTATTTATGCTCCAAGTTGGAGGCACGCTACCCTACCACGAATGGTCTCAGTCTCTTGGGATGCAAAATGACCATCGTTAAGATGCCCTGCAGAGAGGCATCTGTTGGTCAACAAGTCTTTAGGTGGTAACTCCCTCATTAATATTCCATTCAGTTGTTAAAAGGTAGTGGAGTTACCTCTGCACTCAAGGGGAACTGTGCTTTCGTTGTTTGTTGGAGGCGAAATCATTGAGTCCCCGAGGGAACTGATGAAGCCTGATGGGATGAGAGACTAATTGTCTTGTCCAACACTCCAGAACACCCCAGTTGTGATTGGTTCAATGGCCTGAGAACACTAGTTAGAACGTTGTGTTGTAACGTCCCTGCAAGTCGTCAAGGATAGTCGCAGCCATCGGTTCACTTTCAATTGGTTTATTGAACAAACGGTAATGAAAGGAAAGTGTCATTAGCACATCTATGCACACGTCTCTTACAGCACGCACTCGGTCACTCAACAGTCAGACTAACTTGAGCTAAAATTAGCCCACTCTTCTCTCACTCGTTGACTCCCACGTCACTCACCAGGGCAGACCCTGCCTTTTAAAGCCTCACACTTTCAAAGTCACTGATTTTACAGACCCCAAGTGGACACCTCACATGCACATTTGTTTTTGTATTATCTATTGGTATTCCGGTTAAATATTGTGAAACCAATTATTATGCATGCTACTAAATTATTGACATAATAAATATGTATTCACGAACGTCTCGCGCTTCATTAGTAGGAGTAGTGCCTAGACCTCAAGCTAGATATCACTGATATTACGTGAATGCTCACGACCGAGACTCTGTGATCGGTTAAACCGCCTCAGAGGTCAGATATCTTGGGTTCAAATGCGGTCTTGTTTCCGGGCCGGTTTCATCATCTGTATGTGAAACGTGAGAAAACATGATCATTGTAATGTAAATGTCCCTTAAGACCTATTTGCAAATAATACCTGTTGTCATGCAAAATAGCTGCAACGTTTTCAGTTTCAAATGTGGCCATTTGAAGGCTCTAAAGGCCTGTTGTCATCTAAACACATTCCCATGTTTTCAGTTTAAACTGATGGAGTGTAAACGGACCCCTCAGGCTGCACTTCGGCCGTCACGGACTATCACAGTGTCAGCTTGGCGCGTCCCGAGCTGCCATGTTCCAATTATGACAGCTTGTGCCAGTAGATGCTGGCTCACAGTGGGAAGGCTACGCCATTACTTGCAATTCGGCAGCGCACGATTGTTAGTTGAGAACATGCTGTACTGTTCCTATGCAGGAAGCGCCTTCTCTTTTCTGCACCTCTTGTCCGGCGCTGCTCATAGAAGGGCCCTGCAGTCCAGAGAGAAGATGTTTACTTTGCAGCTGAGCATGAAGAAGTACCGAGCAGACAGAACGCTAATTTGAGGCACCCTAGGCAGTTTTAGGTTGGAGGGGAACTTGTCTGGACTTGTCCAGAAGTGTGCCATCTGTTGTTTAAGTGAAGATATTAACCCTGCTACACTCTTCATGAAAAAAAAGTACAACTAATCTGTCTGTATTACTTTTAATTACTGTTGTGAGACTCTTAATTGAGCTTTTAAATGAGTGTTGTGCTTTTTTTTTTTTTTTTTTTTTGGATTTTGACAAGGACAAACATAGGTATTGAGTCCCACCGGTTTAGACACATCTTCAGACTTGTGTAAAATACTACTCAGTCCTCATCTGTTGGGAATTAGGGTTACTGCAATTACACTGAGATACAGTTCATCTGATCCAGCAGGATATTTCCTGTGGTTGACCTACCTTGTAGCAAAAGCCATGGTCCACAAAAAGCAAGCAACGCAATGCATATAAGCAGGCGTGCTTGTCGCAAGTCATTGCTGAGGAGATGTTTTCAAAGTAACTGAAGTGTTTCTTTTGAGGAAAAAAAAAAAAGAAGAAAATAAATTACGTGTCATTTGCATCACATAACAAACGTGTGTTTATCTATGGTCAAAGTTCATTTAAAAATACATGCTTTTTTTTCTCCGAGAAGCCTTTGGGAAAATGAGTTATGGTTGTATGACAACAGGAGTGAACCATTTGGTCTCAATTCCCAAAGGTATTCGTGGAACAAAAACAACACTGCGCATTACTAAGAAAGTACATTGCGAATGCTTTGAGACTTGTTTCTCTTCTTTCTGAGGAACTCGGGTCTTAGATGAGGTGAAGGGAATTATTTAGTGTCCCAAATACCAATCAATTCTGAGCCCAAAACTTTGGAAGATGAAGATTTTACTGTTTGGTATTATTATATTATGGAGATTATGAGAAAAACATGGTGACGGGTACTGCTATGACATTCATCTTGTTTTCTTATTCGATTAAATAATTACATAGGTTTAAGGTCTCTTCATCAAACAATGTTCTTTTTTTAAGTGAAGAAAAAAAAAACGCTGACCAGGCCGACATTTTCGGCTGTCATTTTGGCCTTCGTCTGAGCTGTCATGGTCAACGCTGCGAACCAACCCCCGTAGTTGCACATGTTACCTCATATAACAGTGGAATTGAGCTGCATCTATCAAAATGTGTTTAAAGGCATAGTTTCCAATTCAGCTCATGTTGGACTGCAATAGCTTGTGCAAGTGTACTGATTCCGGTGTCTGTTCAGTGTAGATAGATTTATTCAAAGGAAAACTGTGTAAAGCAGATGATAAAATGCCCATCTCAAGATCTTGGTATTACGCAAAAGAAAACTAAAAATAAATAAATAAATAAATAAATAAAATCTCAATTCGTTCCACGATTATGCATGAGGCCTCTTTTGCGTGTTGCAGGCCACGGTTATGTTACCCAAGGCAGAACATGAGCTATTATGCCGTGCTAACCAGAGTCATCTGACCCCCTTATTTTGCTGCGGGTTGAGCGATGAGTCAGGTCAGTGTGGGAGTTTGCGTTCAACAGTTTGCTCCTAATAACCATTGCGGTGTTGAACTGTGTGGCTCAACCGAGCGCTTTTTACAGGTCCCATAAAGAAAAACCCCAGACTGCTTGCACTGCTCAGTGAAAAAGGGTTTGACCTACCAGGTTTTAAAACCTCTTCAGCCGAAGTACCAGTAAAGTTATTTTTGTTTGTTTGTTTAATATCGAGAGTGGTACCAACAAGGGTCAATGCATACCATTTCCCCCATATCAGAAAATAGAAATTGAGTTATTGAGTGCTTTTGAGTTGAGTTGTCATATTCATCTTTTCTCACGTTCTTACTGCTCCGCGTATTTGGATAATGCTGCGGTCAGACCCAACGCGAGTTGAGTGCTTCTCGCAGTATGTTTACACGGAAGTCAATTCAATTTGTGTGGATAGCCGTTTAATCCGTTTGCTGGGTTTAAGATCGCCATCGCTTGATCACATGTACCTATGGATGAAATAGTATGCAATCTCAGTTGGCAGAATGCACCAAGCGGTTCGTGCCACGCT